TTATCAGATAATTCATTATGCTTCTTTGTTCGATTTGCTAAACCAACTATATCATATCGTTGCAAGAAGTTTGTGACAACTTTTAGATTTGACGCCAAAACTTTGTTTGCAATTTTATTACATCTTTAAAATGGGTGTTTTCAATAACAACAATTACGTTGTCATATTATCATAAAATAAATATAATTTTCTATGTCGTGTATGTGAACTTTATTTCAACTAATTTTGATGTTATTGGTATGGCCGTCAATTTTATAATTCTTTCATCAACCTGTTTGGCAATCCGAAGTTTTATACATATATAGGTATATACACTTTCTTTTAAATTTAATATACACAAACAATATATTTTCTCCAGTCGCTTCATTTCTTCTTTGCATGCTGGTTGATTTATAGTATTTTTGATGAATGACACATTAGCATTTTCTCAACTTATTCAAGGTGGGTTTATGCATGGTATTGTGAGATGTAATATGCTATTTCATATTATTTTGATGATCTTGTATGTTTTAATTGGTTTTAACTTGGAAACCCCCACATTGTTTGAATATTTTTGGGACACTATTTAGAGAAATTAATGAAACCTGCTATTACTATACAACGGCTAATAATATTCATGATATTGTACACATATTGTTCACCAGCTTCCATAATAAGCAGCTTCATATGCACAAGTTCTAAAAGTTTAGTGCTAATATTAAAACCGTATTCATGGATATAATCCAAGGGTTTACTTAATACATGGGGCTTAGACTATGTCCCGAAAGCGAAACAAAACGGCACGACATCTGCAGCTTTGTTCAGCATGTAATAGACCGAAGTGGACAATCTTAGAAGTATGGCAACCATCATTTGGGCAAACTTAACATTTTGATGTTCAAAAGTAGCGGTGAATGCCCGTGATCCCTATCCCAATAAAATAACAAAACAAGGCGTGTGTGGTTGGTTAGATGGCAGAAGCTTGTCTGTTAGACTGGTCATCGCCGGGAGGGGTGTGAGTGTAGACACCGTAATCCCCGGGGTTTTGATGGTCAGTCTAAGACGCTGCATTTTTACAAAACCCATTTACGCAACTCGACAGCCCCCAAAACTGCCATGTTCAAAAGTAGCGGTTAATTTGATTGCCGATGTTATACAAATGTATATACTTTCCGTTCTATTCAAAAGCTAGTAATGAACACGTCTGCATAAGGTTCCAATATATGATTGTGTTACCCTTTCCCCGATTCCCATCACTTGCAAAAAGGTAGAAAGGTGTTGCACATGTCTTTGCATACAATCACAAAGGAAATAGTGCCATGCTTTTTTCTACAGCACGGCAAGATGGCTTCTAAGAAACTTACCACTTTCTACCCATTCAAATGACTTTGATCGTGGTGCTTGTATGGTAGAATGGATTTTACACAGGCACAAAGACAAGTTGAATATTCTTAACAAAGAATGCAATTTATCTTAGACATTTGCATATTCAATGCAATGATACAGGTAAGGTATGTTAAAGTGGGTCAGGTATGCCTAGTTCTGTCATTTTCTCGTGTATAATCTTTCTTATCCGTGCGAGCTTATTTAGTCAAGTATAGATTCCAATTTTTTCTTAGCAACTAGAACATCTTTTTTTAACTGCTCACATCGTAAGTATAAAGGAAATATGTTTACGTCAACTGTAAATCAAGATCAAAGATCAAGATCTAGCTTGAATCTTGTGATTTGAAACATTTTGAAATCCAGCTCTGTTGTGAGTACAATTTCTAAAAATTGGTATTTAATATTTATCAAAACATAGAGTGGTGAACTCGTGTGAATTACGAAGATATTGCGTATCACGTGACATTCGCTATCAATGGTGTCTGGACAGGATGTAAGTTTTCTCCGATCAAGCCGGAAAAACGAATATTTGTGTATCTATACTTTGTTAACAGCGTTAAATCTCCCCCACTTATACTGTACATCATATCTCAGTCTTTCAAACGACTCTAAATTCACAAGCAGAGGACGCATATTTTTGAGATGTCACTGCTTTTTGTTTCGAAAAATGATGGTGTCTGAACAGCTCTAGATTTACGTATGATGGTGTCTGTACACATTTTTAAAATACACGACTGGGATACTAAAGTGTATGTCAATGCATTATAAATGAGTATTTTTGCTTTGTTGACCGGCATTTGCTACAGAGAGGGTCCATGTTTTAGGCAAGCCCCAAAAGCCAAACTAAAATTCCCATCTAAGCATTCATTATCGTTACCTTTGAATTACTGATGTGTCCTAAGACGCTCCTTACGACTGATATTAAAGTTTCTTCCCATTTGCGTATTTTCGAAATCAACTGACGGCTGATGGATTAACATACTATGTTATGGCAAGCTCTTTCAAATATGAATGGTAAAGTGGCGGGTAATATTCTTATCAAAATGAATTGGTCATTAAATAGTAAGTTAAGCCATCAGCCGAAAACCGAGATATTTAATAATCGCTACACTTTTTTGAACCACGCAGTATCATGGTATAACTGAGAAGCCCATTCGGAAATCGTTCTTTTACGATATTACATACTTGCCCTCTGTAAAAACCCCAAATCCAATCCCACCTAGTAATTAACCTCTAACTATTCCATATGTTTTCCAAGAGAAATGATAGAAAATGAGGAATATACTTGCAATCGTATTGACTAAAATATATAAAAATCGTAGTAATTGGAAAAATGTATGGACACGTGTACGGAATGATCACTTTGAGCTGGTTTTATTTTCGCGGAGATTTTGAACTGCTGGCCGTTTTATGTGCAGAATTGTTAAAATAAAGTTTTTTTGTTTTTTTAATTGATTTTTATTTCAGGTTTAGCAGCATTACAATTTAATAAATACAAATATTCAATATAAAACGGTTCTACATTGATTTTACAATAAATCGCAGGAATTTCTGCCAAGAGCACCACCAATAGATAGAGTATTCAGTTGTTGTTACATTTCATGTAGATTATTTAGATATATATACAAGATCCTCCTAGACAAATTCAAGTAATAAAGTTTATAAGTTCGATTTTTGATATGATTATTGATTTATATTAAAATAATAAGAATGTTAATTAATAATTGGGAGGGGCAGATGAGTAATGCGCATGCGCATCGACGCATTTAAATTGCAGCGTAACACCAAATAATTGCTTCGTTAGGCTTTGCTTGTATTCGCGAATGTAACTTTCGGCTGTCGGCTACCAGATTAACCTACTACTTTATGGGAAACTCATTAACTTAAATATGAATAGTACCTGCCACTACTCCATCCATATTTAAATTAGTTGGTCATAAAATAGTAGGTTAATCCGGTAACCGATAGGCGTTAGTTGCATTCGCGAATAAAAGGTTGGATAAAGCCAGTGTGGACACAATTTTTTCTCTAACCTTCGTTACAAAAATGCTTCGTTAGACTCAACCCGGTAGTGTAGCAGGTAACAGTAAAGGCCTAATCTGTAAGTTATTCTGACTTTTCAGCTTATGACGAAAGTAAGGTTAAGATTTGGAGACAGAATCAAGTGAATATTTTCCATCTTCCAAATGCAAATGTCTCGTTTTCCAATTGGGTTTTGAGAATTGCCCTCTATAACTAATCTTCAGAATCTTCAGTAAATTGAAATAGAAAAACAATTCGAGAAGATTATTTGGTATTTATTTCTAAAATACAAAATATCTACATTCATATGAAATAGATACATCTGTAAATACATAAATTTTCAAATTCAATAGAATAAGATAAATATCAAATTCGTAGCTATGGACAATCATAAAAGTGGTCGAGTTACACTCCTCTTAAAAATGATAATCACACCACAGGTCTTCTTTGTATAATTGTAGTTTTAAACTAAACTTTTCTCCGCATTTTATTAAAAGCCGTCAATATACAAGCCTATTACAGTTGCATTGCATTTAAGACATATTTAGGCCGGAAACGATATACCAGTACACCCCCCCCCCCTTTAAGTTCGGCAAACGGAAACCCCTTCACCTATTAAGATTAAAAAATATTAAAAATATTAAAAAATTAAAAAAGATTAAAAATCATCTAAAAAAATCCAAACTTTGAAATCAAGCAACAAAATTGAGATCAGAATTTGATTTCCTATCCAATAAGATATTCCGGTTTCCAAACTTATTGAGGGGAGTGTTCTTAGATATGTTACTATTATACAAGGCTTCCAATGTCTTGCAAGTGTTGTGGGACAACCTGTACAGATCATAGACGTGTGTGTATCAAAATGTACTAGAATTCGTGTAAATGGTGACACTTATAGGTTTGGTTTATATGATCTATTAGAATTACATCTAAGTATACATTGAGAAATATAAATATACGTATATGTAGTGAAAATCCTAAGAAGATCGAAATATTTTGAGTAGTAGCCTATTATATATGTATTTGTGTGTTTTTGGCTACAGTAGTTGTAAAGTTTTCTATTTTTTAAATGTTATGGCACAATCCTCAGACTATACTTTGTTTTGATATTTTAAAATTGATACAACCTCACCCTTTACTTTTGATGTTTAAATCTCTTAATTTGGGTTGTTTGTTGTCATTCACAATGTATTTTAATCAACCTTTTATATTCGTCAAGAATGTGATGGGATATATGTGATATATAAAATATGTGTATACTTGGACTTTATAAATGTTGCTCTTTGTGTTTTGTCATAATGCACAAGGGAAGTCAATAAGTTAAAGGAAACATTTTACAACATATAATTTATAAACATTAGTAATCCTGAGCTCGTTAACGTGTATTAATATAATATAGTCAGTAACTCTCTGATGCGTTTTTTCACTATTTGATGATGATTTAGAAATATTCGCTCTTATTGTTTTGATTTCAAATGTTGCCCTTTGATTAGCAATGTTTTGTTATTGCTTGTATATTTCAAAATTACGCCTATTACATCATAACTAGAGTGTATCAATTTACGAAACCTGAGTCCTATTTATATTATTCCTTTCACAGATTCAGGAAGTTTAGCTACAAGCCTCTGTGACCCCCACCCCCCCCCCCCCCCCTCTACTTCACTACACAGCTCACACTGTTGTAGTGGGGGTCACAAAAGCTAGTGGCTAGACTAAGATTCACGTGTATCATTACAGTAAAACTCATCTAATGTGAACACACTTTGACACGGCAAAAGTCTAGAGGCGCGCTATAATGAATGTCATTGAAAAATGACGCCCGTGAACAAGTGGCGATCCTTTTACTCAGAGTTATTCCTAAAGGCTAATTAGCATGTGCCACGCCCACGTTTGTCTTTTTGGTGTCCATGAGGAAATATCGTGATATGTGACAATTTATATTAGGTGTTCAAGTTAGAAGTTTTACTGTATATCGTTAAATATCAGTCTAATGTGTTTTATCATAGGTGTCCTTATTCTTGTAATTTCCAACATATCCACTTCCGACCAGAATGTTTTTTCGGCCTGCAATTCCTTTCCCTTTGCCTTCTTCATCAAATCGTTCCTTGTGACTCCCCGTGTAGCCCTTGGTGTCTGTTAGGCGGTCGACATCTCCGACCTTCTTAGCGACTTTCTGAAAGCAGTACGTATATGCTTATGAATTTGACACGTTACTACTTTATTTCATTTCAAGATAAACTCTCCTCCAACTGGTAGTCCACGTATCTACCCAGTATTGAACTTCGGTTCAGAATTGTTTATCAAAACCTATTTATGTTTGACGATGTTAAAAATCATAAAAGTGTGAATTTCCGCGGCACTATTATTGTTATTTAGTGGATTCAAAAAATGAGAGGCTTTACTTGGGTATATACAAAAACTATTCGCCCGAAAACCCTTTCTGCTACTAATATATATTTTACTTTTACAAGCGGGACTCCTGGATACAACATACACGATTTCATTTATTTCAAATAGCTTGAGGATAATTTCTGGAGCCCTGCGTTCAGAGTACGGACCCCCCAGTTAACGCACTTACAGTTGCATTGTGTGTTTTTGGTCCATTCAACTCTATTTTATCTTTAATCGCTTGGACTTGGACCCTTCAACTTGCTCGGGCGTATAAAATTTATTGCAATATAGAGTTGTTTCATCATACAAAGATTCACGATTTCTGCAGATCAACGAACAAAACGATACTTTTGGACGACGAAGATCTTGTTCTATAGTCTCTATATCCAATAGACTGAATTTCCCATATCCAGAAATTAGTACAGAAAATCAGACATCGACTTATCTCCTATTGCCACTATTACTGTGATTAATTACTTATCATCACCAACATCGTTAAAAATGAAAGTTATACTTTTTTTAATCATTTTATTTAACCTAGAAGGTAACAGTTAACAAGTACCATTATAACCCTCTATGGTTCTACAATAAATACATTACAATGGCATGTAAACTTAAATAAAACGTAAGTAAATATGTCAGATGAATCTCTGGTTGTGTTCAATGAACTTCTGTACGTGAGTGAAAATAGTTAAATTATCGTTGAAGGATATGGCATCACTGCCATGTATAAGTAATTGGATTTTTGAATGTTTTGCTAAGTTCCCAGTGTTCCCAATATCTCTCACTAGGGTGGCACGTGGGGCAGCGTAAAGGGGACAGTCAAAGAGAAAATGAGAGTTATACTGAAAGTTATACTTTGATTCTACTATTCACTATAAGGGCCAGCAGTTCGCCATACAGCGCGGCATTGTATATATTACAGCATATGCAGCATCCAAGCTGGAAGGCTATACATGTACATAATGTCACTGTACATCAATTACTTGTGGTTTCTCAGGTTACAGTGTGAGGAGCATTGCGATATGAGAGCAACAATCGTTCAAATTTAATGCGAGTAGAACCCGAATCATGACGCGCGGCTCTTAAGGCTTGTTTTAATGACTGCACGAATCGTTCTGCTTGGCCATTTGGGGATGCTTGTAAAGGGGCACACTGACTTGACTTGTGAATGATTCCGTTGCTTTGTAAAAAATCTTCAAATTCTGCGGAAGTAAATTAAGTACCGTTATCTGAAACACAGATCTGTGGAAGTCCAGTGCGACTAAACAAACTCCGCAATGTGTTTATGGTACGTTTCAGCTGTTATCGATGGCATATCAAAAACTTCCGGCCATGCATCAACTACTACTACTAACAGGATCTTAAGAGGTTCTGGACAAATCATTTGATTCTGGACTTGTCATATTTTTTTTTCAACGAAATCACATCCAACGGTTGAATTTTTATTAGCTATTTAGAGAGTGAGTCCTGCCTAGTATTAATTTCAATAAAAAAGTTAAAATAGAACCCTATTTGAGAGTCAATCTAATACTTACATTACAGTGATAAATTAAGGCAAATCCTGAAATATTTTCAAAGTGCATTTTTTATGAAATATTATCCAGCAAGTAAAAAAAAAAGTATTTAGATGAAATGGTCTTATTTAAATACAAATCATAACATGATGATATTTTTCATGAAACATTTTTCATTTTTAATTTAGGTGAAAACCCTTACATGATGATGTGTTTTCATAACTTCTTTCATAAAATTCCATCAAGGAGTGAAGATAAAATGATCGAATTTAAGTGATTTAAGGATCACGATAATATGTTTTCTTGGATATTTTCTGTGAAATCCCATCCAATGGTCAAGGTAAAATTTTGATTTTGATTTGGTATTAGGTCACGTGTTCCAAAGATCCATATAAGGCCCATAGAACCATATAGGAACGTCATTTTGAATGTCACGTGATAGATCCATATAAGGCTTTTAGAACCATGTTGGGAAAGATGAGGGGAAGCCCCTGACACCTGTTTCACGATTTTATCCGAACGTTGTTCCGATCATTTCGGTTTTTATGCACTTCATTATTGTACCGAAGTTTGCCGATTCGATTCGTCGTATTTCGGAATCCTGGTGACAATTGTATACTCCATTTGGAGTATTTTTGATCTACTTCTTATGACGAAAATTCCCGAACCTTGTTCGGATTAATCCGGATTTTCTGACCTGCTTTATCTTCCGAGATTTCACGAGTTAAATTTCGTCTCATTTTGGAATCCTGGTGACAATTTTATACTCCATTGGAGTATTTTTGATCTACTTCTTATTACGAAAATTCCCGAACCTAGTTCGGATTAAACCGGATTTTCTGACCTAACTTATCTACCGAGATTTAACGAGTTACATTCGTCTCATTTCGGAATCCTGGTGACAATTTTATACTCCATTGGAGTATTTTTGATCTACTTTTTCTGGATTTTGCCCTACTTATTATATCTTGACAACAAGCAAATCAAAAAGTTCGACATGAACGGGTCTCGATCAACTAACCTAGAGCATGGAAGCCAGGCACGCGAACCATGAGGCCAACGTGCTATCGATATGAAAGAACAAAAGTAGTATATATTTATACCGAGCATCAATTCAAAATGATCCTCACTTTTGACTCCACTTAAATACGACTCGTCAGTTAATTTGTATCCAGAATAGGTGAACGCCTATGGCGCTAGTGAATAACCCAGTCCCAGGTGAGTGGTTCGTATCCCTCCGTGATATACTATTTTTGTTTTATTAAATACGACAGAAAGGAGCAAGGTGTAGTTTGAAAACAAGACGTTAGTTTGTTTCAAAACAGTTTGGAAACATTAATCTCTGATAATTTAAGATTTTCCACTCCTGAAGGGCCGCTAGATCTATGAAATTCATTAATCCACTCAGTAAAAATACAATTTCTCTGCAACCTGATGTCCAATCAAGATCATTCAAATATATATGTGTTCCTGACACGTTTGGGCGTCCAGGAATAGCAAGGTCTACACAAAGTTTGCACGCGAAATTGACGTAATTCATGACTGAAATCGGGAAGACAAAATTTGAGATTCACAAACAAAATTGCTTGTGAAAAATATTTACAAATTTAAAGTGTTCCAGAGACTCTAATCTACTTGGCTAAGGTTTTATTTGAAGATACATTGCCTTATTAAGCAGGTAGAGGGGCATACAGAATACGGAAGCAAATGCTATGTTGAAAATTTTCTATATTTCAATTTGAACCTGTTGTTACATGTCACGTAGGCCGGTGTTTTATATGGGGATTATATGTACTTTACTTGTTTACATGAACGTAAATCATTACATGAAATCTGCATTCTTCCGGGTTTAATCTGGGTTTGTATTGTCTTATTGGGGCTTTTCGACTTCAAAACAAACCCTACCTAAATGGATTGTGTCTCGGGAACGTTGCTGTAAATAGTTATTATAAACAATTCTGAAAGAATATCACATATTTTTTTCTTCCCGATTTCAGTCATGAATTACGTCAATTTCTCGTGCAAACATTGGGTAGACGTTGTCATAACCGGATGCCAGAACGTGTCAGGAACATATAGATACTCGAATGATGTTGATTGAACATCAGGGTGCAGAGAAATTGTAATTTTACTGAGTGGCTTCACGAAAAAATAAGCAGCACTTTAGGCCACCTTAAATACAACTCGTCAGTTGTATCCAGTTGGAATCCCAGCGTATTTTTTTAATTTTTTAATTATATGGTTGTGCCTTGATTTTACGCTGAAAACATTTATAACTACGTCAACTTTATATTAAAACGTTTATTATATTTTCAGTTGCATTAAAATGTAAAATATGATATATGTCAGCTTATTGCTTTCTGGAGAACAGTCAAGGTTTAAATTTGGTACAATGAATCGGACACTCATGTAAATCAACATGGTTATAACATTGAGCCCAATGCAGTAAATTAGTTATTTCTATGAATCACAGCGGGATTGGTTTCATTTTATATAATTGCCAACTCTGGCGGTAATTTTGTAAATGCTTTTGACCGCGGTAAATGTGAAACTGATACAGTTGTGTATTATTCAATTGTTTTATGTCTTGGTCACATTTGCTCCGATTTTCACTACGGCGCCTGGCCGATTGAGTATTGTGTTCAGAAATGTATTCAATTTTGAACAAAATACTCGCAGCAAATGTGATCCAGGCATTACACAGCGGTATTTCGAACATACTATTGTTGCATAACCACGACCCAGCCAATCATACTCCTTATTTAAATCCAACGATAGGAGCTCATGGAAAGTATACATTTTAACTTTTATACATCTTTACAAATACTAGAAATCTACATGTTC